AAGAATAGGAGAGTTCCATGAACTTTTGTCATTTAAAAAAAAAAAAGGAAAAAAAAAGGAAAATCGATGACCCTGCGTTGTCTGAGAAACTTTATCGACGGAAATCATGGACTTAGATAGCTAATTCCGTGGGGAAATCTACAATATATTTTTTTATCTTATTTACAAACATTTTGTGTACATTTTAGATCCATTGGAGATAACGTTAAGATAAACACACACAGCATTTAGCTTTTGCAACAACATACATGTGCAAGCATTTCTACACGCAAATACAGAAAAAGACGATATTTCTAAGAATATGACGTTTTATCTTCCCGACATTTCTAACATGAAATCAACAAACGTCGATGATCATTAACATCGTTCATACACAACTAAAGATGGCGCGGAAGATATCTGAAACGTTTGGTGTTGACCAGGGAGACGGCGTTTTGTTGTCATCTGTCAGACGTGACAATTTACTACTATAACTTTTAACAAGAAAAATGTAGCAAAGCTACAGGACACCAAACCTGTTTATGAAAATGACTTACTGACAGTCCATCAACCACGAGGGAACGAATCCTGCATACTTGAATCTATTTAATCATAATCATATAAATTGTAAATGACATTAATTGTGTTGTTCAGAATATTCCGTTCACACTCAATATCTAGTTTAAACCGCACTTTTAGGCCAAATGTCAATGATTTGGTAATAACGTCATCTTCTGAGAGAGTGAATCCGGGACATAAGACGATTTACATAAAAGATCCTTCACACCTTTTGTCAAAATTGCAGCAATTTTTGCATATGTTTCTTTTGACAATGTACCTATTTGACTATTTTGGATAAAATATTAACCATTTTCTAGGTTAAAGGGTCAATCGTATCCCCCCGCCCCATTGAATAATATTTATTACTTCTCGAGACTGCAACGAAGACATATTTTGCCACAACGCTGGGTTTTTTGGTTGTTATCACAGATTCGTTTTATACAAGTGAAATATGTTAAATAATTCTCCAAAAAACGGAGGTTAATTTTCCCTTTTGTTGTTATTTTATGAAAAGCATTGAATATCTATATATATCCATATATACAACATTTGATGTAGCGCCCGATCTAGCAAACATAAGCCACTCTAAAGCGCTTTATATTACATACATATACAATTAATACAATAAGCATATACATGTACATTAATTCAATACAATTTTTAATGAGGAATTCGCAGGAGCTGCCTTATCATGCGCTAACTACTAGCCATATGCCACCTGGCTAATATCTCCTCATATGTATATGCCTGCGTGTGTGCTGGAAATGTATACGTCATGTTGTCTGTTTGTGGCGGGACCGTGCTTCAAACGGTATCATTTATAGTGCCACCTCGCTTGAATGCTACAGCACAGATACCGCAACATCCACCCCAGACAAATGTATACTCCATCTGGGTTGTTGGAGTTGTGTGGGCAGGAGAAAAACACTTTCTCTGAATATTCATGCGTACGACGACTTTGGGGATCGAACCTCGGCCGCATGGAAGGCCGTAGTGTTAACTTTGACCACTCGACCAGTCCGCCTATATTGTGGACTCTTTCAAATCCACTTCCGTTGATACCCCATGCGTGAAAGCCTTCTGGGAAATTAAAGCCGCATACTGTCTTCAACAATATGATAGTAAGCTCTACGGTATCTGTAATTATTATAGTTTACTAGTGAAATATCATGTATTTTCCATTTGATAAAACATACCATAATGCAGTGAAGATATACGAAATCTTTTAACTTCACATGTGAAGACGTCACTCTTAGTATGGTCCAATCTGAACGGTACATTCTATTCTCTGCGTAAGCTTCGATGACGGCAGAATAAGTGGTTGTGTTATCTACCTTTGCAGCATACATTTTTGTTTTTACATAACTACACAATTAATATCATTTTTATCTGGAAATCTTACCAGATGATAGCAACACATTCAAAATGGCGCTCTGTATTGTTGTCAAGCGTGACGTCGTAAGAACTTGGCGTGGAAAAATACGCTACACATTCCGGCGCTTTTCTGATGTAGCAATATTTGCGTGGCGTGACGCGAAAAAATGTTAGAAATAGAAAATGCCATGGTTTTCCCGTTCAATGCGAATTATTCATTTCACTTGTAGAAAACGAATATGTGATAACAACCAAAAAAACAGTTTTGAGGCAAAATGTGTCTTCGTAACAGTCTTGAGAAGTAATAACTATTATTGCGGGATTGACGCATTAACCAAGAACACGGTTGATATTTTGGTCAATAGAAATATATTTGTTATAATCGCTGCTTCTCTTTCTCAGAAGATGACGTTATTACCTAATCGTTGACATTTAAACGTACATTTGCGTGCTTTGTGACATATATTGAGTAACAATAGTGCTAAATGCAAAATTAACGCCATTAACAATTTATAAAATAATTATAATTAAATAAATTCAAGTATGCATGATCCGTTATCTCCAGGTTGTTGGACTGTCAGTTAGTCATTTTCATAAAAAAATATTTGGTGTCCAGCAGCTTTGCTGCATTTTCTTGTGGGGAAAGTGTTTTCATACGCATTCAAAACCGCTTTTCAGAAACTATCGTTTGCAAATGAATTGTATTCGAATGTCTTATTTACATTGTATCTCGACTTTTTAATATTCCTATTAAAATGGAGATGAACGATTTTGTGTGAAGGTAAGAATTCAAGATCGACTCCTATTATCACGTGACGATAACTCATGATCAGTACTGTTTTTGACCAGTAATAAATGCCCTTGATATCATTTGAATATGTGTTCGTTCATTCATATTTAAGTTACACTCAACTGTTATATCAGATGATGTGTGGTCTTTAGATCATTGTGTAATTCCATTATAGCAGAGACGTATATATCACAATGTATATGTTATATATAGGTATCTGGTTATTGATAAAGTTTGACGCGCAATCGACAATATTCTATGGTCCATTAATTTTGTAGAACTGGAAAAGGTAATTTTGTGTAAAACTATGTTTTGACATTTGAATGAACTATTTCAATCAATATCCTAGAACAACGTTTTATACGAACTCTATATATAATGTCGCACTATTATTGGTCCTACGTTATGAGATATTTTTATGTGATGTCATTTCACAACATGCTACATTGATTCCCTGGAACGTGTAATGAAGCGTAAACAGTTGATTTACAAGTTGATCCACTTTTTATAAGACATTGCTATAGTATATAGCGATACACGTGTGAAACATTCCATTACCGACGACACAATACTAAATACATTTGCATGTGCTAAACGACATCATAAATATTTGGATATCATGATCGATTAAAAATTTCCACGTCGAAATCGTCAATTAAAATATCACTCAGTTTAAGCACATTTTATTTTGTTTGTGAATTTAACAAACAAATTTACAAAAAAAAAGACAATCTTAACATTCATGTATATATACATAACAATGCGTTTCATGAATTGATATGGACAGATAGGATCTTGTAAAGGAGGAAACGACGACAAAGGAATGGATAAAGAGGAGAGAAAGAGGACTGGCAGATAGACAGCAAAAAGTGCTAGCTTGTAAAGTGTATGCGATATAAATTCCGATTAGATCAGAACGAATGTTGAAGTCATGAAATAATCTATCAGCATTGCTATTATTGGCGCCATTTTTTACTGAACTTGTATGTTTTTATTTCTATCAAATCGTTACCTTGAAACGATCCACGGCACATTTAGATCTGTGGAAACTGATTACTTCTTATAATTAATTCAAATTAGCCGACTTTTCAACGTTAAGAGAACGTTCAAGTCTTTCAGTAAATAGCGATTTCTTTATAGACTGCAATTGGTATAGTAATGAAGATATGGTGTTTACTTAGCATAATTTCTCATTAACTTACTGCTATCTTAAGTACTAGATTTTTTTTTAAAGTGTATGTAAGCTTTCTAAATAACAACACAATACTAGCAGTTTATATTCAACCGTTCTCTCCAACACTCTGTGTGACGTTAAAAGAATCGTTAATGATATGCATGTACATTTATTTTAATAATAAAAAAAAAACAATTAAGCATTGTGGGGTTTTTTTTCAAAAACATTTTATTGACATTAAATAATCAAAGAGATTGGGCACAAATTCTTACAACGTGCTATAGGGCCATTCTCCCAACAATACAATATACAACGAGTACCAATATCACGTGATGACAAAAAGTTAGACATATAATGTACAATAGAGAGAGACATGAAATGGAATGAGGGTAGAAGTGGAAAGGGGGTCTGGGGAGAGATGTCATGGTTGCATTATTTCATTTTTTTATAGATTTTATGTAAGACTTTACAGTGAGAATAATACCGAAGTTATACTTCAATCAGACATATTTTTTGACGGCTTAAAAACGTTTAATGTATTACGTATATATTGATTTTAATAAATATAACATAGCTATGGCAACACTGTTTATATCTCGAAATGCATAATATATTTACAATAAAGGAGAGTTTAACAAATAAAATATATCGGTTCAATTTATTTACAAATTAATGAAACTGCATACTCGTGCATACATTTAAACAATTTAGACGAAAATATTTCTATAATCACGTGGTTTTTAAATATATCGGGCAAGCATACAATAAGTTAGCCTATAAGATATTAAGACACAATCATAATTAGGTTCCAGTATTTATCAAATCTATGGTAAAGAAAGAAACAATGTGCCTAAATGTTATGAAATAGTATGGTGTTTTCTCCGCCATCTTACCGTTTCCTCTCAAATGATCATCTTATTATAGAGTCAATGGCATCAATTAGTCGTCAGCCAATTAACTGCCTCCGTGAAATTAATCTTTGATAAGCCCTCTACTCGTGACGAAGTGTAACCCATCTGTGGCCGCGCTTAGGCCGATATCGTCTACGCATGCCCAGAGAAAGATGACTCCAGGCGCTCGGTTTAAGACTCTCTAATAAGCCAATCAGAAAAAGTGTAACATCATCATTATGATCGGCGGTGCGACCGACTACTTTACAAACTTTTCATTTATATTCTGTTCGCTTTGGTATTTCACACTTTCACCACCACTCCTCCAGTAGATTGGACAGCCCTATGGAGACCGCAATCAGGACCTCTCCGGGTCACCGGTGTCCGACTCCGGGAAATATCAGTGACGATGGAGATTCCGACAGTCAACATGACGAGTCCGGTTCACTCGATGAGGATATTAGTTTGTCTCCTGAAACTCACACCAGTTCTAATGGATCTATAAACAAAAGTAACAAATCAAAACAATCTCCAAACAACATGCCAGCATCTGAGGCCCAAGGCCCAACCATGCCTTTGTCATTTGCTATGGCTGATATTTTAGACCCTAAGAAATTCACAGGCTGTCCCGTGCCGGGAAAGGGACAAGTCTGGAGTCCATGGAAGGACCATTCCGTCAGGGATTCGGAGGGAAACGATTCCGCTCTGGAAGAGGAACAGTCCGAGCATACAGGTAGGGAGCAATGACAGATAATTTGTTTATATTTCTCATCAATAAATTATTTATCTATTTTTACTTTTCTATTATTTTGTTTTTAATTTATAGTTTTACATTTCTTAACGCCTTTTTAAAATTTTCTAACTTGACATAACTTTTGTTACATTCAGTTAATCAAAATAAATAAATAACTTTTCCTTCAAGAAAATTTACGCCACGTGCGGACCCTTGCACATAATTCGCGTTTTAATTTGCAATTGGCACATTGAGACTTATTTATTTATTTGTTTATTTTATTCTTCTTTTTTTATTCATTCATTATTCGTTTTGTAAATTTATCGTTGAATAAAAACAATGTTATTGAAATAAAAACTATTGCTTCTCGCAACTCAATTCTAAAGTCGAAACAAATGTAGTTATAATTGCATTAATGTTAAATTATTTCATACTTTGCGGTAAAATATTTCACTTATTTAATAACCCAGCCATATAATGAAAATTTTCTCAACAAATAGATATAATAATTTGTTAAGCGATTAGATACAATAATATTTTGATAAAACACATCCGCATATTAATTTGACAAAGCACATAGACATTATAATGATACATTAAAACCCCTTGACGCAATATTTCATTTTAAATAACTTTTCACAAATCTGTGGGTTAATTTGATCTGCTAAGATATTGGATCTTTTATATTGTTATATTTGGTAAATTAACAAAAGACTAACGTCGAAGTAACTTCACGAAGGTTAAATAAAAGCCAAGTAGAAATCGAATACTACACATTATTTTAATGGAGAATGTCTCGAAATACAACAAATTAATAACAATTTATTTTTTATTTTGAAAAACATTTTTAAATACATTTTAATTTTCATAACATTTTAATTTGCTATTAATCAAGCAACACTTTCATATTTATGCGACATATGTTGCATACTTTGAAATAAAATTACATTCATTTGAAACGAAATTTGTTTTTGTCAGTCAGATAGAAATTAATATATTTAAATGTTTTGATGCAGGTCTAGCTGTTATTACATTTACATGGAACCATCATTTAAAACTCATAACAATGTCTGTCATATTTAATACGAATGATCTTTCATAGTAAATCAAATAGTCCATCTCCTATAAAATATAACATACATTTAATATACCAAATATTTCACAGGCTATCAAATATTACAATTACACACCAAATATTCCACAGCCTATCCAATACTTCATGATTAACCAAAGTTTGCAGAATATACTACTTAGAGACTCTTTCCTGTTTAATACGAAGGACTCACAATGTTTATTCACTCTGCAACATTTGCTGAAATATATAACAAGTGATGAGTTTAGCAGTATACACCAGACTTAAAGTGTACTCTGAACGTTTTGCTATATCAAGCTTAAAAATACTTCATTTTATACAATAAAGGGCCAAGAAAGTGGGAACGTTATAGTTGACTTCGTTGAGTAGGTATGTGATATTGGACTGTACATATGATCAGCCTTTCTCGTTGTTATTATAGGATCCCATAACATGTAACAGTACATATTTGTAAACTAGATGGACAAGCCGTGTGTGAATATAAACCTTTATAAAACATTAATATATGGTTTATTTACATATGTATAATAGTTCAAGAAAACCAGATGAATACCAGCCTCCGTAAATTCGTGAGGATTTGAAATACCCTAGATTTCCTGTGTGGGGTCGGCCTCTTCTATATTTTAGAACATTATTAACTGAAATTTTGTGGACTTTTATATTTCCTCTCAATAATTTCAGGATTAGATTTTCTGCAATTTGTCCTCTTTTACAAAACTTAAAACTAAATGCAGTTTTGAAGTTGTGTACGTGTTTTACTGATCCAATTAACGCTTAAGGAAAATATACCCTCTAGAATAGATCTGCTTTTTAGAACTGAGAATGTTCAGGCTTTTGATATCATGGCCTGGTATTAATATAGGTTCCAGAAAAAGATACGAGAATTTAGTCGGTGTTAATTACGACCAGACAATAATGTGTATAATACTTACTGATGTTCGAGTGCCTGTTTACTGTTAAACTGCAGCAAATGCTACGGGTAGATCGTTCTAAAGTAAACGTTACCCAATCGTCTCAAACATCAAACACGTTTACTTAAAAAATAAATCGTCGAGTTTTGAAAAAACAAATTCAAGCAGTTAAATGAAAGATCAGTTTGAAATGAATGGTTTGATCCGGATTTGGTTTCGTGTGTTTGTGGGTGGAAAGATGAAACAATTTCTCAACAAAACGCTATTGATGTATGTATGACCGTAATGTAACGTTATTATATCATTAAACATCTCCGGTCAAGATACTACAGGCTCTTACAGTTGTAGCAACATCCACTGTCAGATCTTTTTAACCAGACTCCATCGACCTCTAAATTTTCTTTTACAAATACCTATGAATTAAAAATACCTATGAAATCATATTTTTTAAATCTTATGAACTCATTTTTATAGGGAAAATTCAAATACGTCGTTCATTGAATTGACGAGTGGACCACGCTCCATGATATGTCAAGATGAAATCGCATAAATGACCGTCTGTTCTAAATTAGCACATTGTACCACGACTTGCTTATATGTACGTAAATAATTCAGCGTGACGCAAGTTGTAATTAGTGAGAGATCCCCCACACATACAACACTGAGTCTCTGTGTCTGTCATAGCCTATCTTACATTGACATCAGTATTGGCGAGAAATCACCCGATCATCCTAACCCAGAAACATATCAGTACCCCGTTAACACCGCCGTCTATTAACATCTAGTGTCAATTTCATTGTAAATAAAGACGTTACCCTTGTTTTAACCACTGTGCTAGATGATTATCGCCAATTAAGATTAATTAACGCAATAAAGATAAATAAATTAAGCGTTTAGCTGACGTGTGAGCAGGGACAGACGGGTCTGGGCAGAAGGCCTATTGGGACACATACACCATCTGGAAACATTTCATCTCGGTATCAGCTCGCCCGAGGTTCGGATTCGCTACTTAAGTTCCCCCGTATGAGAATGAAGAGGTTCCCAATTAACTTAAAGTTTACATTAATTATATAAGTACAGAACAACGATACATAAAACCTTGTCACAGTTGGTTTAGTGGTGGCGTTGTTGGACCGTGACCAGGATAGCTCGTCTTCTTTAAGACCTCTTTACCCCCAAATCATAGATAAATAGAACGCATTTGTGCGTATTTTACCAAGTAAACACAACATTGGTCTTTTGACTCTGAAACCCCAGGACAGAAGCCTTTGTCAACAGTATATGTATTAAACCGATTATCTACCATCGCCCCGAACAGGTTTAGTAAATCATTAATGTTTAAACATTCACACATATACTTAGTAATTGGATTTGTACGGTTATTTCACGACCCTATGCCCCGGGCTACACATAACTGACCCTCGATCAGGTGTACTTTGTACGATATCACGGGAAACGGCTGAAGCAGGTGCGTGGACCTTGTGGTAAAGACGTCAATGTACCTAGTATTGTACGAACTTGTGTGCAGTACCATTCTGGACGTTGCCATTTAAATATAAAATGAAAAACGGCGCCCGGAAATTTGAGTTTGTGCTAAAAGATCACGAAGTTTTTCTTTAAAAATAAGGGATATAGAGTTAAATTCAAAATATCTTATTTCCAAACATTTACGAAAAGGACTGGACACTAGCTCTCCGAATTCATGTAGCCTGTTCCTGTTATAAATAATTTCTAAATCAAAAATCGATAAAACATATCACGTGATCGCGGGAATTATAATAAAATATAAATGATCATTACATACGGATACTGACAGAAATAAAAACAAATATAAAAACAAGGCAAAAATTAAATGAAAGTTGGAATCACTGAGAAAATAAATAAAAACTCTAATATTACGTACTATTTCGATCACAACCGAAACTGACATCACCTTTAGAAAATTACATCGGGTGTAATAGCACAGGTACACTGTCCTAGGTTAGCGATAATTACGAAGGTAAGCACAGTGGTATAACTCTATAAAAGAATATCAAATATTTACCGGGTTTCCTTTCATCTTATTAAATTACGGTAGGTTTTAGTGTGCATCAATTAACTACACGCAATAAAACCAGGTTAATATCATAATGACAAGTTAGAAGGGAATTTTTAATTAATATGGTATATTTTAAACAAGCAATCATCGATTACTTTTGTTAACGCATTTTGGAACAAATTACTTCTATTTTTGGATCAAAGACTAACGGGCGGTTGTGTTCCCACTAAAACCTATCTGTAATTTGTGGAGACCGACCTCTGTGATATGAATCAAGAACTCGTGTCGGTGGTTTATTAAAGTTTCCTATTTACATGGAACATAGTGTCTACACGGGGCGCTCGATGGAGCACGCAACTGTTGGCAGTTCTCACAAGAAAGCACTTGTTTAGTCACTTGACCTATGTATGTCAACTTTTGCAATATGCATTTCTGCAACTCATAAACTTAGCTGTTTAGGATAATAAAACTACCGTAAACCTAAACAAAATGACAGACAATTTGGTTACATGAATTCCAATAGGGGGTGAAATGTTTTCACACGTTTTCGCAATGCTTTCAAAATAGCTGTAGAAGTCGTTACAAGCATGAGTTTGACCCCCTCCGCGGGTCGTCGGACCGACACCAGCGACAAGTGCCTGCGCCACATGTCTCTGTCACTCAAATGTCAAACGTCCACATCCGCGACGCGCATCATTTAGTTCCGTTTACGAGGGTGAACGGACAATTAAGGGTTTCTGACCACCTCCCTCGATTTCCCGCCAATGCATCCTCTACAAATAATTCCATTGAAATGAATTTATTAGCGTACTATTTCTAGGAAGTATGGGAAAAGTAAAAAAAAAAAAAGGTATTCTTTAAAATGTAAATAAGTCTTTGAATGTACATGATTTATACGCATATAATGTATACACATTTTTTTTTTGTGAGATATATGTTGCACATGTAAATTTACGCTGACAAACCGTGCTTATTCACGCTACAGTAAAAAGGTCTATATGTAAATTCGCCCGGATCTTATACCAAAACAAAATAACACACCAAAAACCGTAATCCGTAAACAGGAAAATATATATTGTGATCTATTAGCGCGTAATCTCATTAAAATGGTGAGTAAAACAGATATTATACGTACTCGGTGAATGCCTCTAATCCGGATTGCAAACGTGTTCGTTCCACAATGTGATGTGAACCTTAATGCTATGACGTAATATTATACGAAAAATTCAAGCGAATCGCTTTGGAATCTCTTTGATCGTTAATTATTTTCTCCTTTTAACATTACCGAAAATACCGCCGATTTACGTTGGTTTTTATCATGTAAACATTGAACACATGAGAGAGAGATTGGACGTCATTATTTGTTACGAGTTATACAACTCAAATAAATGTACAAAACTTTGTTTTCTTCAAATATTAAATATTTACCATGACGGTATTTAATGAGTTGGACAAGCAATATGTCCAGATAAATTAAGTTACTGAATTAGAATAAAACAAAATTAATTAAAACATCATATTATAAAAAGTTGTACATAATATTTGCAATGCAATACTGTTTAGTTTTACAACAGCAAACTTGAAACATTTATATACTTATACAATATATATGAATATCTTACAAAATACACAATCGGAAAACCGTATATTTAAACTTCCCTAATCGTTCGGAAGTAGAGATTCGATTCTATTGATTTTATCAAAAATATGTTCTATGCGGCTGGTGTTTTTGCGAGTTGATGCTAAATTATTATTGCTAACTACATTACAGATATCAAGATGTATTCGTCAGAAGCTAGATTATTTTAACTACGGTATTTAATTACTTATATACAGTACTGATATCTACATAGAGGGCATATTTACTACCAATTAAAAAACAGGAAGTTGATTTATTCACTACATTTTCTCTTTTATTAAGTTTATTTTGTTGCATTTGTATGCGGAACATCAAAAGCGACGAAGCAATTTGCGCTGGCGCAGAGATTAAGTGCCGTACAACAAACGCTAGCTAGGCATTATGAGGCGCGTCATCGCCGATCTGAACAGATTCCACCACGGGCATATTTGAGCTTGAAAATAAAAACGACATAAATTTTGAATAGTAAAGGAATATTCGTATTTCATTAATTGCAATTCAAAAATGTAAAGAAATGATTTTTTTTAAATGCGGTTGTTTTATTAGTTTATTGACATCTGATATCGACTACCAGCGGGTGGCAGATGTGTGATGTATAAATCTCAGGTCTGATATACAAACTTCAGTCGTAATACGAATTCGTGAATTAATGTTATTGTTTATAAATATATTTTGATAATAATTTTTGTATTGTACAAAGAAAATAAAAATTATGTTAGTTTATTTCCAATTGACCCTAATGGATTCTGTGGTAGGATAATTATAAAGCTACATACTTTAATATTATTTGATGAAAAACACTTATGTATGTTAATTTATCAGGTAGAGTGTATTATATTGGGAAAGTATTTTTACATTTTTTCTTTAAATTCCAGTACATCTTCACAAATTTTGTGTTTATAATAAATATATCGACTTTGCAAATATGTTATTTGTGAATCTTACTTTCATTATCACACATACATAAATAGATTTGCACAAGATATTTTTGATACAATAAAAGAGGCCTCTCTATACGGAGTTATTAGAGACTAGAGATATGTATAATGTACAGATAACACGTAAACTATTAAATTAAAGCATATGATATATAATATAAGTCCTCTTCTGTCTTATATACTTTTGCAGGTTTCATTAAATTGTCAACACAGTGTACAATTTCGTATGTGGGGTTGGGGATGAGGGTGAGGTTGGGATTTTGTGGTGGGATAAAGATGAAGGCGACGACGATGATAATTAGGATGCATAGCAGTTAATCAAACATTTTCTTTTAAGATAACATATTTTCATCGTTAATATTGTTTAACTATCAACGATTCACCATGAGTAAGACAAACAGTATGCATATTGTCTTGTGTAAATATCTATAGATTAAAAAAAAATGATTCGGATTATCAATTTACCTTTATTTTTTTCTCCTTTTTTAAATAAATTAATATTAATTTTATTTTATTTTTTTCTCCAAACAATACGAACTTACACGTTCAGTAGCGTATGCAAGTCAAATTATATGTGGACTTGAAGGAATACTATCGATAAATACATGGTCTGAGTACGGAATTAGATCTAAGTCCGTGGTCTGAGTGACTAAATACGGACCTGGCAGAAATAAAAATAAAAACTATTTTGTAAGTTATGCTTCGGTGTATATGCTGATTTTATCAAAATTTGAATTATACGAAAGCAAATATAATTTATGCGAAAACAGGAAGCACACATTTTTACAAATAATTTGATTGCCTGAATCGTACAGCAGCCTGTTAACGTATACTTTACCTCTCAAACGTCATGGCAATGATCTCCAAGTGCGTCATTAATTAAGAACAAATTAACTTGATACATAATTACATACTTAATCCAATCTATTTCACACAACGTAGTAGTGTTATTTTTATAGTGATATACAGTGCAGTAAGTACGTAACGGGGCTGCATACACGTGTAGGAGGACTAGTGAGAGAACAATGCTTATAAATCAGAAACGGGCTGTTTTTGAATACAAGGCTTTGCCTTCAATCTTTCACTATCAATAACTATAAAATCGCAATTTATTAACTTCTTAAATTATTATGTCACATATATATATACACGAATATTTTCATTCCACGGTAGACCCTTGCTGTTGACGGTTTTAATAACTGTTCGTTTTTTGTTTACAGGACCGCTTTCAAGTCACAGAGTTGGATCAAAAGATGAAAGAATCGACGTGGATACCGACGATAACTCGCTGTTAGATGATACAGACGATATGGAAAATGATATTGGTGAAAGCGACGGCGAAAAGGACGATAAAAGGTGTAAAAGCGGATTTGACTCATCAAAATCAGCCGGAAAACCGAGACGTGCGCGCACGGCATTTACATATGAACAACTTGTAGCATTAGAAAACAAATTTAAGACCACACGATATTTATCTGTGTGTGAGAGACTTAATTTGGCATTATCTTTAAACCTCACCGAAACGCAGGTAAAAATATGGTTTCAAAACAGGAGAACGAAGTGGAAGAAGCAGAACCCTGGGATGGATGTAAATAGTCCAACTATTCCACCATCTCCCTCGAGTTTATCATCATTTACCTCCCCTTATTCTTCGAGCATGCTCTATGGACACCCCTACCTGCCTAGTCACAATATAATGGGCGCATTAGGACTTCTGAGAGCGCACCCCGCTTACTCTGGACAAAACCACCCCGTGTACTACCCATACTTCAGTCAGAGTACATAGTTCAGGTTGTCATCGCAATATTTCATCATGTGACGTCACTTTTTCCAATGCAGTGTTTGACTCTTATCGTTCGTTCATCACAGAAATTCGCACGGAACTAAAAGTTGTGTAGAGATTTTATTTCAATTTTACTCAACTTTATCAAATCTATCCCATGATGTCTCCTGGCGGCCCAATGTATCCCAGCATCCTAATAAACATAAATTATAAATGGTTGCTCCAAACCTGTAGTCCCAAGGTGTGGATACATGACCTCCACATAGCACAGAGGCGTATTAGTGCTGGTTTACACATATCTATATATACATACAACCGTACCTAGTACGTGACTATATCAACCGTACCTAGTACGTGATATACTTATTACGTTTTTACGTGACAGATACAGTGTAAGAAGCAGCCATGACTGAACAGCATTTTCGTTTTTTATATTTGTCTTTTCCTACGTTCTTCTTTTACCCCCGATAGTCTGTATTTCCTCTGTCTATACATGAAACATCGTTATTGTGTTAAAAGAGAATCAAATTTTATGTGTTCACAGTCTAGTTCAATAACACTTGAACTACATGTTACAGTACTAAACAATTGGCTATACCTTTGATTGCGAAGTTTCCATACCTAAACTTATTAAGATTATCATTATATAATGATACTCTGTTTATCGTAACATTGCAAAGGGCGGTGATAACGCCATTATTATGTTATTTATAGTGATCAAATTCCATTTACCTGTTAAATATCTCGCAGATTTTGATTTTGTGACTGGGTATTTAGTTGAAGTACAAGTAAAAACATTATGATTGAAATTTTTTTACTACAAATTAAATGTATTATTTTTTATTTAAATTCCAAATATATAATTTGCAATGAAAAACATTTATTTTCATAACCTGGAAACTGGATTTCCTTTACATGATGACAAAAGCTTATATAACAAAAAATAATGGATTTGTTGCCAATCTTTATATATATACTACTTTAAACATGTGAAAAGTGTTGGAAAGTGGGAGTTGTATAACTGTTGTGTAGGGTGATGGGGCCGGGGTTGGTTGGGGAAAGGGCAGGGGAGAGGGAGGGGGGACGGGGCTATATATACTACGTGATTAACGGAATATCTTTATTGTTGTTATTTATAATTATGTCTATGACACTGTTGTTAATATTACATGTCAAAATATATATAAAATATCACTTTGATCAAACAATCATGTCTGTCATCTTTTGTTTTGTCCCATTTCCGTCTTGCTAGTAATCAATATCACATGTTGACTATAGTATTACACAGGAGAGCCACACAATGGAGTTGGCTGGTTGCGGGTCCGACATTTTTTGTTTTTAAATCTCCCTGATTTATCAAATCATAACCAATACTTACAGAGAAATACGAGCCAGCAATGCTTTCAATAGTGAAAACATCAGGGCTACTTATTTATCAAAATGATGTATCTTACTCTTCCCAGTTGTTGGTATAAGAAATTGTTTCTAAATAAAATATTGAATTATTTAAAATTTTGAAATCGAGGTGAAGGCTTCGTAAGAAGCATCGTGCTTTATTGTTACGTTGTTTTAAGTCTGCTTGACAGAAATATGTTTAAGATTAGATTTTAAGATAAATAACTTTTACCAAGTTACCATTGCCAACATAATAAAATGATGCATATGACGTCAAATACATGCACACGTACATGTATAATCGATACATACACTTTACATGTAAAATTATCAACACATACAGATGTACGTGTAATTGAGACAAGGATATATTTGGAGCTAGCACTTCGTATTAATTAGTGCTTAAAAACTAGTCACATTTTAATATGACCAGAAAATTCAATATTCTCCGGTGAATATCAGATAACTCCGTCACGCATATGTTACTGTCAACACTTCAAATTTCCATACGTGCTTCGCTGTATAAAACACTAAAAAAAAGGTAAATACTTCCATAATCGGGAATATTGAAAATGACATTCAACGGGAAATGGCTGAATAATGTTTGTTACCAAATAAATGTAACAGTCTTCTGCTGGATAAATACACCTCACGATGACCCGTAACAGTGCATCGGTGACAAATGTAACCGGGTATATGGTTATTGGTGCGGAAGCTGTATCGAGGAGGGCCAGGGTATAACGTGAACTTGTCGAATCAACAGGAAGCCTAATCATACCAGCTGTCGCGTTACGCAATCAAATGAAAAATAATATAAAAAAATCAGCACATACATTATGTGTTTAGTTACATCAGATTATTACAAATCATGAATAAAACTTGCAGTAAGTGACATTAACCTATCACATAATCAACACGGGCTGGCCAATCCTTGTGTGATCCACTTACGTCGACTATATATGTATTAGAACTCGGAATATTTAAGTGTTGATCAGCAATCAAGATTGAAGCATACGGATCAATAGTCGAAACATACACGAGCAAAATTCATCCCAATACATAGACAATATATATATTTATACATATAAATATTATTGGACAGACAAGACATATATTTGTGCACACAAATTGACAGACATCACAAACACACAGACAGACAGAATAATAAACACACGGACGAATAAAAAACATGGAGAGTCGAATCAAGTATGAATTACAAAACACCCGCAGAAAGGTGTAATGTATGTAGGACAGATAAATGAACAAAAACAGACAGAGAAATACACAAGGTATCTGTACATTATAAAACAAAAACGGATGGACACCAGACGAATCCGGATCATAAGGTAGACAATCAAAATACTATTGCGTTTCTGGAATAATTGACAAACAGCTATCTTTCATGACTTAATTGTATTTTACATGTACAACATGACAATCTAACGATATACTTTAGAAAATGAAATGAATTGATATGACAAACAACGAAATAAATATTTCCATACTGATGAAATTACTCAGACTGGAAATGATTTAAAAATAATAATGAGTAATGTAACTTGTTGTGTCTTACTGTGTACAATTTGATATCCATATGTCACATTTCATGAATTTATGGTTTTTTTTTTAAAGTCGTACTCTCTCGGCTTTAGATACAAGCACAGTTCATAACAAAGATGTACATTAACCCAATCTACCCGTGGTTACTTAACACTCCCAGCACAGTACCACGCTCATCACTCAGCACGAGGATGGTAATGTCCCCAATACATTGATCAGATTTCGCTACTTTACAAACAACGTCGGTAGGTAATGATTTGCATAATGATCGTCACGCTTCATTTATATACTATACCAGACCGTATACATATACGTACATTGTACACGTAAATACCGATACCCGGTATATACATTGTACACGTAAATACCGATACCCGTTATATACATTGTACACGTAAATACCGATACCCGGTATTTACATTGTAATGTATCCGTTAAAATTATCAACACCGTCGTACACGGTTTACCCGTCATCACACAAAACGACGCCAACACACGTTATACCCGGCAGCATACATACAATTTAAATGTAATGTTGCCGTTTAGAAGAAGTTTTAGATATAATGTTGTCCTTTAGTCGCTCAATTTAAATTAAATGTTGCCCTTAAGTTGCTCAATTTAAGAATACTTTTGCCTTTCCTTTATTCTTCAACAATAAATTGTTGCCTCCCTTACAATTCCACATCATTATAAGTTTAATTAGAATCTCTTGTATTTTTGTAACGATATAACGTTACCCTCAGTGAAACAAGTACAACATAATCCAAACTCGTGCTCCTTTTTATGTCAATATCACTTCAACACTGCCTCTCCTCCTCTCCGTACCAACTGCTTTTTGTCCGTATTTTTGTACCAACAGAAAGTTGCCCTGTTTTGATGTTCGTATCAACAAAATGTTGTCGTAGTAGGTACTTGTTAGCCATGCCAGTTACATGTTATCTTGTCTTAAACCCATGCCAGTTACATGTTACCCTGTCTTTAACCCGTACCAACTACATGTTACTCTGTCTTTAACCCGTGCCAGTTACAAGTTACTGTCTATAACCCGTGCCAGTTACAAGTTACTGTCTATAACCCGTGCCAGTTACAAGTTACTGTCTATAACCCGTGCCAGTTACAAGTTACTGTCTATAACCCGTGCCAGTTACAAGTTACTGTCTATAACCCGTGCCAGTTACATGTTGCCTTGTCTTTAACCCGTGCTAGTTACATGTTACCCTGTCATTAACCCGTACCAACTAAATGTTACCCTGTCTTTAGCCCGTGCCAGTTACATATTACCTTGTCTTTAACCCGTGTCAGTTACATGTTACCATGTCTTTAACCCGTGCCAGTTACATGTTACCCTGTCTTTAACCCGTACCAACTTCATGTTACCCTGTCTTTAACCCGTACCAACTACATGTTACCCTGTCTTTAACCCGTACCAACTACATGTTACCCTGTCTTTAACCCGTACCAACTACATGTTACCCTGTCTTTAACCCGTACCAACTACATGTTACCCTGTCTTTAACCCGTGCCAGTTACATGTTACCCTGTCTTTAACCCGTACCAACTACATGTTGCCCTGTCTTTAACTCGTACCAACTACATGTTACCCTGTCTTTAACCCGTACCAACTACATGTTACCCTGTCTTTAACCCGTGCCAGTTACATGTTACCCTGTCTTTAACCCGTACAAACTACATGTTGCCCTGTCTTTAACCCGTGCCAGTTACAAGTTACTGTCTTTAACCCGTGCCAGTTACTTGTTACCTTGTCTTTAACCCGTGCCAGTTACATGTTACCTTGTCTTTTACTCGTACCAACTACATGTTACCCTGTCTTTAACCCGTACAAACTACATGTTACCCTGTCTTTAACCCGTGCCAGTTACAAGTTACTGTCTTTAACCCGTGCCAACTACATGTTACCTTGTCTTTAACCCGTGCCAGTTACATGTTACCCTGTCTTTAACCTGTGCCAACTACATGTTACCCTGTCTTTAACCCGTACAAACTACATGTTACCCTGTCTTTAACCCGTGCCAGTTACATGTTACCTTGTCTTTAACACGTGCCAGTTACATGTTACCTTGTCTTTAACCTGTGCCAACTACATGTTACCCTGTCTTTAACCCGTGCCAGTTACATGTTACCCTGTCTTTAACTCGTACCAACTACATGTTGCCCTGTCTTTAACTCGTACATGTTACCCTGTCTTTAACTCGTACCAACTACATGTTACCCTGTCTTTGACCCGTGCCAGTTACATGTTACCCTGTCTTAAACCCGTGCCAGTTACATGTTACCTTGTCTTTAACTCGTACCAACTACATGTTACCCTGTCTTTAACTCGTACCAACTACATGTTACTCTGTCTTTAACCCGTGTCAGTTACATGTTACCCTGTCTTTAGCCCGTGCCAGTTACATGTTACCCTGATTCTCACCCCAACCAACTATATGTTGACCAGTCTTTATACAGGTTGTGACCCGTGAGAAGATAAATCTGATTTTCCGAGGGAAAGGCAGCCTACACGCGCCATGACGTCATGACGTCGGCGTTTGAGATTTCCCTGCACACGGACCACACCCATGTAAGATTCTATTAATCTGTACCAACTACATTGCGCCATATCTTTATACACGTACATAGCAACTACAAACATAATGTTTTAATGTATTTTCTGTATCTTCATAATAATTGTATATTGACCCTTATTTATATCCCGAGTAACAACATGCTGTCTTATCTCTGCTGCCTGTCGTTTTAATCACGCTTGGCCAAACTTTCAATGTTTTGTAAAAAGAAAACTCGCATGGTCTAGTTTTGTGCATGCATTAATCAGGTCTAAAGCATTTAGTTTATGATGAATAATTAACCCAGGGAAATTGGACTACTATTTTATAAAAATGACAGAATAAATGGAAACTCTTCTTTTCCTAATGTATTTCGCCAATCTGGGACTCTTCATGAGTGGTATACATAATGTACAGGAAACATTTTACTACTTTCTATCAAATATTAAAACGAGACTTTCTCTCCTGTTTTGTTGATAAAACTAATATATCAAATGCCGTCATTTGTCCTTGACAATCCTCGTCATTAATTATGTATGACGGGTATCATAGTCAGATCGAGTGACATGTAGTTGTTACGACTTCGCCATTAAAACTTTCTGTTTGTGTTGGTGATTTTGATACTTAACTGACATCATATTAGTAATTTCCGAGTTTTGTTGAAGAAAGCAGCA